CTCTCTCTCTCTCTCTCTCTCTCTCTCTCTCTCTCTCTCTCTCTCTCTCTCTCTCTCTCTCTCTCTCTCTCTCTCTCTCTCTCTCTCGCTTTCTCCGTCTCTCTCGCTTCAAATGGAAAAGTCCTTCGCCGAAAGTTGCCACTTGTTGATAGGTCCACGGGTTGCTTGGCGATTGGCCGTGCGATGGCGGCCTCGTAGGGAGCCGCACAATTGGGGGACTCCGTTTCCTTCGCGGTTCCTGTAATGGGCGCGTTGATGCTGTTGTGCGATGGCGGGCGTAGGGGACGGCGTGTGTGGGTCGCGTGCGGGGAAGTTTCGAATTCGAACGAAAGTCAGTGCGCGGCAAGGCGTGGCGCGAAACGAAGCGTCGCGGGGCGGTCACTCCTGAGCGCTAACCGGTGGCGCTGGTGCAATTTTCCGTCCAGGTCCAAGACCAAGTTGGTCACTGTTCAACTGTAGGCAATTCTAGTTAGTACGGGCCTACATTTTCCCGAATTTGCAGATATGTCCTCTCGAATTTTCCTTACAGGCAGGTCTCTCGGTTAGCCCTCAGCCAAACAAAATTGCGAATCTGTCCTACCTATGGTACAGCCTCGACAAGAGAGGCTACAGGCCACTGAAACCAGCAAGTCGTTGCAAGTTGACCTTCCGAAAGGTCAACTGTAAATTTGTCATTTTAGGAAACTTACAGACGACCCTTAAGACTTCTAAACAAATAATCTATGGATCAAATCCACACGGCCCAACCTGCACACACAAAACATTTGTACACGGTTTGAGGGACAGCTCTCGGGTTCAAAGCACACAGGGTCAACAGGCAACTATACAGTGGGCTAGGGAATGTCTGGGGATCGACTCCTGCTATCTACAATGTTGCACAAACTGGGTGGAACCCTTTGATTTTTGTAATTGTTGTCATCCACATGATTCACATGGTTTTTCTAATTTGCAGCAGTGGATAGTGGCACTGGTGACTGATTTGACAAAATCATTTGTTCTGCCAGGATCTCATCACGGTTGCATTGGAAGAGATCTGCAGGGCGAACAATGCGCTAAAAAGCGCAAGATTGAATGATCCTTCAGCATCAGACACAAGGGAGGCCGAGATGAAGTTGCGAGATGCTGTGCATAAGTACTTCAAAGGAACTGACAATCCCAAGACGAGTAAATTTGCTCGAGCGAGGCAGGTGAGGACTCAGTCAGAGTACTGAAAAAGCAATGGTCAAAGATTGGTAGTCCATGGCCAGGGATCAATCCGTGGACCTGTTGGTGAAAACCTGCCAAAACATGCGAAGCCCATTAGGACATGCAAAGCTCACAAAAATGCTAGCACGCCCTGAACTTCAGTTTTCAACTGCCACTTTTTGCTTCAAATCCGTGACTTTGTTGCCTGTCCATGCTCGCAGCCCACATTTCAGGATGCCTACGTTTGCTCACAAGCCCACCTCTGCATTGTCATCCTATGCTTGCGGCCTGCCTGTTGCAAGTTCGGAGTCAGAGTGCATTGTGGCAACCTACTGTTTTGTATTCAATACAACATGCTGAAAGTGCAACCTTGATGCCCATAGCGAGCATCTTGTTAGTTTGTTCTGATTGAAGCCATCAAAAGAAATTTGGCATTGAGTTGCTGCTGGCAACGTTCGTGTTGAAGTGTGGGCATGTGTGAGTTCTTCCCCACCATCATACCCAGTGTCAGTAACAGCAGAGGAGAATAAGTATGTAATGGAAATGTGACCTAGCTAGGCTAGATTAGGATTCTTCTTTTTTTCTTGAAAAACATGTCCTTATGAGACCTGGCTCCATATCCATTCTGTGGAGCATCAGTTCGGTTCCTTCCCCCCGACAAGTCCGCGATGTACATCAATTACACCCGCATGCTTCCTTCTGTCTGGCCGAAGGACCCCTGACCGGTATTGATTGGTCCATATTTCAGGAGGATTGACTGCCCCTTGCCTTTCTCATGAGTTCCTACCAAGTTCCATTGTGGAACCTGTCAGCTTTGACCAGTGAAACGAGAATCACGAGATATGTAGAGAATCACGAGATATGTACTTAGGTGCAGCCTTGATCTCAGTGGGTTTGTCGGCTTGATTCTCAGTATCAGAATCTGTCTTGGTTCTGTTCCCTCAGTGGCAGCCTGGTGATTTCCCTGTTGGATGTAACTGAGTTGTGTCGTTTCTTCCGCTTGATCCGAAATTCCTCCACCCTTGCAATCTTCCCTTGCAACAGTGATAATCAACTGAACCGTGCTTTGAGTCTACCCTTGTCCTCTGGTCTTGTTTGCCTCCATTTGCACCTAATCTCGGCTTCAATGAAGTCCTCTGGTCTTGTTTGCCTCCATTTGCATCTAAACTCGGCTGCAATGAAGTCCTTGGTCTGAGCATACAGCACACCTATCTGAGCTACTGGGGTTGCTGTTCTTTCACCTTGTGTAGCTAGTGATTGACTGGATTCTTCATGCCAAATGTGTTCTTTTCACAAAAAGAAATTTGAAAGTGATTGTTCATGAGAATTACTACAACCTGAACACCTCCCTTGATTATAACGAAGGGAGGCATTGCATACGTTTTGTTGGATATAAGGGACGCTGGACCTGGTTTCCAGTTTTTTTGAAAAAAAAAGGACTGTGAAGTAATGGAGAGGCAGAGCCTGACAGTTCATCCTTCCACAGGAAAGCAATTAATGCTGTCAGGATGATCCATTTTTCGATCGGCATATTTAATATGGTAGACCTACCAGTCAGAAACGGTACACGGTTTAATGGGGTTCAGGTAAGGATAGAAGAGCAAGTCTTTACCACAGGCTCTGGATCAGGATTTGTTCAGTCAATTAGTAAAAGAGACTCTAAAAGTGCAAGGAAGATGAGCAATAGTGAACCTCAGAAATCAAACAGCATCATGCACATGAGACCAGATAGTCGTGACCTCGAACCAATAGCAGAATTGCATCACAAGTTTCACCAAATAAGAGCACACCAAAAGCTCATAATTGACAATGCTGGAATGGTCTCATCATCATCAACGAAGAACCAATGTTGATATCCAATCTGGCGCTCGGCGCCAAGACTACGAATGGCAGATCCTATCTAGCCTAGACTACAATGCCGCTGATGACGTCAACAGCTTCCCAAGTACGAGCAGATCTCGGCCAATGCCGCACGCCTCAAGCACCGGGTATGTCTCTCGTATCACTCACAACCTCGTTCCCCAACTCACAGATGCCACTTGCACCGAAGGACCACCATGCGCCCCATCCAGCATACAGCAGCGCAGCTCGGCTATGGCTGCCTGCTCCTTCCAGCTCGCCCGAGAGCGCGTGAGCCTGGCCAGCGTTAGTGCAGGAGCGCTTGCGCAGCATGCAGCCAGTGCCCGAAAGTCCAATGCGTAGGCAGGCCCTTCTCTATATCGAAGTGGCCTGCTGCTGCGTGCGGTAGTGCGGTACTGGGCCTTGGCCCAGAAGCTTCCGGTAGACCCCACGGCTGAGCCTCAGTTCGAAGTAAACAGGCCCAGAGCCTGTGGTGGTTACCAGCACCCAGCTGCCCTCAGCCTTTGTTCGGTCCTCTTTGTGCATCTGGCCCAGGGCCTGCCTCAGTTACATGCGATGCAAGGTAGCCTGGGCCTGGGCCTGGGCGCTTCCAACCAACTGGCGCTGTGCAACTGGCTGAATTTCCACAGTTGCGTGGTGACCCCAAAATGGCCTGTAGGCCTCGGTTGTGCCTGCCTTCACTTAGGGCGGCCGAATGTGTGAAAAATAGGCCCTGTAGGGCATATCGAGGTCCTGTGCCTCACATTCCCTCCTCCACACTTCGATAGTCCTATGAGAAGTTCAGTCTTCGATAATCTGGCGTTTTCCCTTCTGCAGAGTTTTCTTGTAGTGAGCGACAACCTGTGTAGCGGTCTGCATCAGTTCCTCCCGTGTGAACCATCTATCCTCCTTTGGATCAGTGTGATGTCTGAACCGAACTCGGTACTGCATCTTCGGTTTTGGCGGACGTCCTCTGCCTGTCGGTCTTGGAACTGGCATCTCCCTCAACGATATCATCGATGTCGACCTCTCCGTCCATGGCTGGGGGCAGCATAGAGCGACGAGAGGGAAACTGGTCAGTTTCCTTGAATGGTGCAAGCTTGGAGGCGTGAAAGACAGGGTAAGTGCGGAGATGACCAGGGATCCGGATAACATAGGATGGCCCATCCGGATCTTCCCCAACAACATCCAGAACCTCCCATGGTCCAAAGTACTGTGGCATGAGCTTACGGGAGATCCCGTGCTCCTGGCCCAGTTCTGAGGATTTTACCCAGACTCTGTCCCCTACCTGAAATGTGGAAGGGCGGCAGTGTTTGTTCTCAGACTCTATCATTGCCGCCTGTGCCTTATGCATTTGTTCTACTGACTGCTGCATCAATTGTTCATAGCGATAGGCAAACTCAAGTGTGCCCGGTGCAGCAGTTGACTGATTGTCAGGTAGCAGAAAGTCTAGGGGCAGTCTAGGCTTGAAAGTCAGTAGCAGACTGTTAGGACTTAACTCCAGTGGCGCTGTGCACAGCGTTGTTGTACAGGCTGGCGATGAGAGCAAGTTTCCCATCCCAGTCCACCTGATTGGGCTTAATGTAATGCCGCAACAGGTGTTGTACCGCGCGGTTCATCTGCTCTGCTTGGCCATTGGCCTCTGGATGGTTCCCAGAAGTCATCTGCAGCTGTGTTCCCAGTTCTGCAGCTGCGTCTTTCCACAAATCACTAGTAAATCTGACATCCCTGTCACTCACAATAGACTTTGGAAGCCCGAAGTCTCTGACCCAGGTTTTTTTTTTTTTTTTTTTTTTTTTTTTTTTTTTTTTTTTCAAAACAGGGCCTTATGGTCCTGGCTCCTTCTATTCTGGGGAGCGTCAGTCTGGTTCCTATTCCACTGGCAAGTCAGAATACACATTACATTGCAGCAGAAACGCACGCTTCCTTCCGTATGGCCGAAGGACCCCTGAACAGCATTGATTGCTCCACCGTTAGGAGGAGGATTGACTGTCAGCTTGCCGTGTCTCACTCTTCCCTCTCAGACCTGAAAAATCAGTTCTGCCAAATAATCCTGTGTCTCCTAGAAAGAGCTCGCCCATCATTTCTGCATACTTGTGTATTCCCCACTTAACTGTCCTACCTGTGAATCGTGGTATCCTCTATCCCGTTAAGCCTGTCCCTTTCTTCTAAATGCTACTAAAACCCTTGACCCTAAACCCTCAACCTGTGGACCTTACTGTCCCTTTCTGGGCTGGAAGTTAGGAATCTGTTCTCATTGAGTGATTTGGGAGCCTGTATTCCTTGCACCCTTACTTCCAACATCCCTTTGGTCAACTTTCCCTTCCTCGCTCCCCTTTTTCAGTGTCGTACAGTCGTCTCCAGTCTGTTCTTAGTACCCGGTGATAAAGCATTGATAGTAGCCCGCCAACCCCATGAATGAGCGAACGTCCGTGATGTTGGTGGGCTCGGGCCATATGCAGATGACCTCGATCTTGTCTGTAAGCAGACGAATGCCTTGTGACGTCACATAATGGCCCAAGTACTCGAGCTCCTGCCGCGTGAATTCACATTTGTCACGGTTGGCCTTGTACTTGGCTTGTCGTAGCCGCTCCAAAATGGTCCGTAGGTGCTCCACATGCTCGTCCAAACTCCGGCTGTACACCAAGATATCGTCGATGAGTACAAATCTGTCCAGCATGTGTCGGAACTCCGTCGTCATAGCTGCTTGGAACGTGGCCGGGGCATTCGTAAGGCCAAATGGCATAACCAGCCATTCAAAATGCCCATATCGTGTCTTGAACGCGGTCTTGTAGCCATCCTCCTGCCGGATCTCGAGTTCGTGATATTCCGATTTGAGGTCAAGCTTGGAGAAAAAATTAGTGTCGCCCGTCGTTCGAGAAGGTCGTCGATGCGCGGAAGAGGGCCGGCATCTATGAAACACCCTCGGCGTCGGCCATCCGCGGCCGAATCCGCGGACGCGGCCAGTCCGCGGACCCCGCAGATGCGTCTGCGCGGACGCGCGGCTTTGAAGCCACGTGGCGGCCGCGCAGGAGCGACTTTCAAAAAACGAGAGACGCCACGTGGCGGCGCATCCCCGGCCCCACCCCCCTACACAAAAAAAAAATGAAAAAGATCAACTTTTGGATGGGGGGTATGGGCGAAATCGAAAGAAATTGA